TTACACTGTATTTCTTGCTTGTGTCTTAGTTTTCAGATTCCTTCCTCCATTCAAGGGTTCAATGATACTTGTATTTGGGCAAGTTGAGAACTAGGCTATCATGATATCTACGTCCACGTCGTATAGCCTGGGTGCTGAATTTTTCAGTAGCTAAAGGATACCTCAAGATTTCAATGTTTCTTATTAAGAATGTAAAAGTAATAATGATAATAATAATAAAATAATAAAGTTTTAATAAAATGTTTGTAAATAAATAAAAATAAGTATATTATTCATATAAAATGAATTGAAAGAATAGTATTAATCACTTTGATAATTTCATAAAATGCTATAGCCTCAAACATTATCCTGCTACAGTTTTGTGCTTTATAACTGACCAGTCTTTAACCAGCATATGCTATGGATTCCTAAGAATCAAGGTTATCTACAGCTATATAATGGCTTTATAAAATTACCAGAGCAAAATAATAATATTTTTCCAAATCAAAAATAGAAAAATAAAATGATATATGTGTTACTAAATGCTAATAGAGTATGGGGGATAATCAAAGGAATTATAAAGGAATTGTAAAAGGATAAGAGTAATTAAATGGATAAGGTAATTATTAACTTCGCTATTGTTTTTTATTTATAGAATCTTGATAGTGCAACACAGTTTAATCATGATAGGGCAAGATCAAAACATGTAGGTATGTGTATGCTAGTGGGTTTTATGGCGTCGAAGTCTATGCTAATCACATCTCTTCTTTTTGTAGAGGTACCATCAGCTCAAGATACCGTTATGCGATCTTTGACAGTGTCGATTCAATCGCGAGAATCAACAAGGATCACAGATTTGTGGTAGGTGGGGGTATTGATCGGGTCAAAATGCTGTTACTGATGGCGGTGGGATAAGGTATGTGATGGTAAAATGATGGATGGTGTTGAGTGCATTTAACGTTATAGGGTTAGTCGATTGCATTCCATCAGAAAAATGGTATTGCTGGACGTGACATGGGTGTCTCATTAAAATAGTAAGACCCAGATATGGTTATGATCATTGATTAAGAATAGTATAAATACAGAGAAGTATATTGCGAATCATCCTCGTCCATTTGCGATTGCTTCTTGAAATATCTTCCAATTTTATTACATCTTCGTGCAAATCTTGAGGATCCTGGAATTTTGTAGTTGGATATCTTTCATTGTTATTGTCATCGAGACTTTTCAGGTTTCCCAACGAAGGTTTTTATAGTGATGGGATGATTAACCAATAGAGAAAAACGTCGGACGTTGTGGAAGTGGTGATGATGATAGTAATGGTGATATTGATGGTTGCAATGTAGGATGATCTTGATAAATCGGGGGGGAATGGTTGTGTTGATGAAGATTGCACTGACCTTTACCCAACCTGTGCAGATTCTCTTGAGTAATCGTTAACTTGCGAATTGTGATCCTCAGTGTCAACAAATTCGTCATTAGTGCTTGTGACTGCAATTGATTTAGTGGTGGGGGTATGATCGCGATCGTGATTGAGATTACGATCACGGCCATAACAGCTTTCTATATTATCATCAGGGCTATCATCTTCATGAGATAAGTGTTCCGTTTGCTATAACCGTTCTGTTTTTAGGTAATTAGTTCTTTCTTTAACCATTCTTGTCTTGTCTTTTTTTTCTTTCCACATCGGTATCTTCTTTGTGGTCTTGTCCCGGTATTTCCAATCGTCAGAGTGGTCTTGGAGTTATCTGTCCATCCGTCATCATAATAGTGTGATCCGCGGTGTTCATAGTGTGTCTTGGTCTTGGAGGTACGTTCATCGTTGTTGTTATGGTTGTTCTGATCCGGTGTTGTCTCATTTTTGCTCATTTCGTTTTGTAAATATATATATGCATGCATATATCTTCTAGCATGCATTATCGGTTGTCAACTTCGTAAAGTAAATAAACTCTTTTTTTTTTTGTTTTTTTTTTTTGTTTTTTTTTATGTGGATAACTAATACTAACTCAGCATCATTCTCTCTCTAGCGTTCTAGGTTGTGGTGATGTCATGGATCCAGAAACTTCGTCATTCACGGTGTATAGGTCTTCTTCGTGATTAGAGAACGATGCGTAATTATGATCACGATTATGACAGCAAATCTTCGGAGCTGTCATCTTTCGTCGGTCTTGATAAGTTGTGGCATTTTCTTCTTTTTGTGGCATTTTACCAATAGC